TATATATATATATATTATATAATTCTTAATTCCTTTTTCAAAATAATTTCAACCCTTTAATTTCAAAAATTAAGATATAATCGTTCAAAATTAAACTTGATTTTTTTTCTTTTTCCTTTCTCCATTTAAACTAAACTCCTCCAAAATCAAACAATTATATTATTTTCAGTCCTCCATAACCTCAAAATTTGTAATTGTTATTCTCTCCAAGTTATCAATTTTATCTTCTTCTTATTTGTGAGCGAAATTTATTGTTGTGAGTATTGAATTGTATGTGAGCTCAAATATGAACATTCACTCAATTTGAGAGTTTGTAAGTGTGTGTTTTTCAAAATTTTCAACTTATTGTAACGTACGGTGTGATCATCATCGTGGAGATGATCGTTTTTGCTCTTGAGAAGAGCAGTATACTGGTTTGAATCCTACCATGGAAAGAGTCAAAATTTCAATTAGGACAGTTGTGCCGAACCACTATAAAAATTTTCGGTGTCAATTTCTGTAACCATCTCTCTTATTTATTTTTGCAATTAATTTTAGAATTTTATTGTTTCGTATAAATTTCTCTTATTTGTCTTAGAATTTATTTTATCTTACCTTGTTAAAATTGAATATCTCAAAAAATGTATTATTTTTCTTTAAATTGGGCCCATTTGATCCAACAAAGGAATCTGTATCCCGTGAGTTTAGTGAAGTATTTTCAATTGTGTAATCCTAGGTAGCCATTGTTAGGGTACTTAGAATCAAGATATTCACTGTATAGTGATATATTGAGTGAGATCTTTATTGTAATATTCTCAACTATAGTCGAACCTTTTTTTTTTTTTGTAGAAGATTGGACGTAGTCCCAAGATTCGGGTGAACCAGTATAATCTATGTGGTGTTAAGCTTTTTCTATCCCTATTTCTTATCCCTTTGTTAATATTACTTACTTATTTTTGCTATCAAAGCATTTGGTTCAGATGGTCGTCGGATCAACAGAGAGGTGAGGTTTTGAAGGAATCATGAAGAGTTTGTTGGAGTCAATTTCGGATATTGAAAGATGCAGACTAAAGATTTCCTAACCTGCAAGAAGTTACCAAAAGCTTTAAAGGAATAACTAGCAAGGATGAAAGATGAAGATTTGATAGAGACGAACGAACAAGTAGTTGCCATTATTAGATTGTATTTTTCGATGAATGTGGAAAGTCTCGTGGTAAATTAAAGTTCGAAAATAGGTCTTAAGCAGTGGAGAATAGATACAAAAAACCATTTGCTAATAATAAGGTATATCTCGTGACGAGAAATTTTAACATTTGCATGGAAGATGATACTTATGTCAATTCCCATATAAATAAGGATATAAATATCTTAAATATTTCAGAAATTTGTGGTGCGGCAATTGATAAAGAAATTTATAGGAAGGAGATCGGAAAAAAGTCTGCTTCCAAACAAGACTCAACATTGACAACTCAATAAGGTAAAGAGAAGGTTGTAACTGACAACCGGCAGCAAAAGCATAGTAGGTGGAATCGAAAGAAAGAGGTCGAATGTTTTCACTGCTGCAAGAATGGCCACATCAAAAAAATATTGTAGAATATTAAAAGACACTACAACAAATATGGGATTCAGCGACAAAAGTAAGCGACGAAAATGTTCGCGTCACATGAAAAATGACGTAAAAGCATTTCGTCGCACAAAAAGCGATGAAAACGGATGTCGTCGCTTTTTTATGTAACGAAATCACTTTTCGTCGCATTTTTTAGTGACGCAAAACCTTTTTCGTCGCATAGCTTTTTCGTCGCTTTCCTAAGCGACGAAATGTGTGTTTGTCGCATTAAAAAGYGACGCCTTCGATTTCGTCGCTAGGAATGTGACGAAACGCATAAAAGTCACCATTTAAACAATGACGTTTGCCAGCGTTTAACTTAAAACGCTGGCCAAATGATGTCGTTTGGCTAAGAAACGAGATATTCATTGCTTAGCTCCAACCCTAAATCAAGCGCCCCCTCTTCTTCCCCACTTTCCTTTTTTCCCCGAAATCTCCATTCCTGCCATGTTGTGACCCTCTTTACCGTCACCGTTGTGATCAGTGCTGTTACCGCCGTGAGTCTCTACCATCGTTGCTGTTACTGATTTCGGCCATTGAGGTACATTTTTTTCTTTACTTCATAAATTGGGTCGCCCTCTTAGATTTTGGTCTATGAAAATTTTATACTAATTTTGGTGCTCACATGTTCTTACGAAGTCTTTGAAATGGGTATTGATTTTTTTATTCTTTTTCTATTTGTGTCTGGTTTCTGTTGGAGTTTTGACTTAATTGTATTGTATTTTTTATTTAGTGTGTTTATGCAAGGATTTGCACAACGTTGATCTAGCTCGAACCCCGTCCTTTCTTCGACCCGAAACGTGAAGGGAAGACCTGCACAAGAAGGCAAAATCTTCGACGCTCAAGTCAGTAAGCAGCTCGGACTCAATATTAAGTTCGAGGAGAATTTCGATACCTGATGGTRAAATGAGGCCCTCTATTTATAGGTTTAGGTTCCGACAGGGGTTACGACAAGCGATTACCTTGGTCGGATTTGAGGCGGATGTGTCGGGTTCGATCAGGTCGACCTCGGACACGTTCTTGGAAATGTCGAATGAATTCTTTAATAGGAAGTGGTGAATGTCCCATCTCGGAAGGATTTGAGATGGAGCTCCATAAGTTCATTGCTCTAATTCTTCTCTTAATAGCGAATCCCCATCCTCCACGTGGCTAAAATGTATTTCTTCCCCAAACATTTGCCCCATATCTGTCGGGTTCGACCTCGACCTGACAGAGAAGTTTGTTATCCTTGGGGAAACTAATTTACGTGGTGACTTCCAGGGCCGATATGCTGAATGTTACTGTTGGGAAATCTCGAAGACGGAACCGTCAATCGTCGCGCCCTTAAATACCTCTGACGCTCGAGCTTCTTCTGGTCTGAGTCGTCCGTCTTTAGACATGTGTGCGGCGGGGATTAAATCTCGGGATACTATAAATACCCCTAAATCTTGATCTCCATTTTTTACGTTGTTTGAAATTTTGGAGGCCGACCTCAATAGATCAGAATCTTTMGGTCAGTCTCGTTCCTTCTCTTTAAGTTTTCTTTTCCT